GCTGCTGGGACTCCAGCCTGAGCCCCTATCCTGCCCCAATCCGGACCAGACCTCCGGTCTCTACACATGGTGTAGACAGAGGGTCCCAACCTCTTCCCTGGCCTCCCCACCTGCGGCTCCGCGCACAGCCGGGAAGGCAGGCCGATCGGCGCTCTCGTAAGAAGTTAATTCGATTCCCCCCGATAACCGAGTTATTCTGATCCAGCCCCTCAGCCCCGCCCCCAGCGAGGTCCCATCCCGGCGAGGACTGCGGAGGCGGCCCAGAAGGGGGGATGTAGACGAGGACGAGGAGGAGACGGAGCCTGGGACAGGGACCGGGAGAGGACGTGGATAGAGAAGGAGACCGACGGAGACAGGGAGAGAAGGGGCAGGAACAGTGATGGAGTGAGGAGCGAGGGCGATGCAGGTACACGGATGGAGGCACGGATGGCGCACGTGCAAGAGAAAGCCGGGGTGGAGATGGGGCAAGGCAGAGACCGAGAGGGAGACACAGATAAGAGAGAAGATGGGAACAGATGAGACATGGACGGCGAGGACGGCGACGGGGACCGCAAAGGGAAGAGACAAAACCAAGACAGTAGCAGGGCAGACGCAAGCTGAGGGACATTCTCGGAGAGAGGCGGCCAGGGCCAGACGGGAGCTGAGGAACAGAGGCTGCGGGGCGGGGAGGGAGGGCCCCTGCAGATCTGAGCCCCTCGAGCTGGAGCGCAGAGCGGCCAGGGATGGGCTGGAGGCGCGGGGGCGGGGGGGCGCAGGGCTGCCCAGGGGCGGGGAGCCACGGTCCCTCCGTTCTGAGCGGTCCTGGGCCCACCCGAGCACCCTTAGGCCTGGTGCCTCTCCCTTCCCCCAGCGCCCTCTTTCCCACCACGGCAGGGTGTGACCCTGGCCTCCCCAGCGGCGGGGTGTGACCCTGAGTTCCCCAGCGTCCTGTGCACTGTGCGTGCGCGTGTGTATGTGTGTGTGTGTGAGAGAGAGATAGAGAGATGAGTGTGAGGACAGGGAGCAATCCGGTGACCCTTCACTCTTGTCCGGCCTCTCGCCCTCTCCTCCCTTTCTTCTCCTGGAAACACGAGATGCAGCCCGCACCTGGCCACACACGTCCCTCCACGGATTCGGCCGCCTGCTCTCCAAGACGCGGGTCGAGCGGACACACGAGGACTCCTTCCAGGACAGCGGTACAGAGACCCTGTGCCCTGCCGCTCACCGAGGGGCACTCGGCTGCTTCCCCCCTAGTCCCCACCTTCTCCACCCCACCTGGGCAGGTCCTGTAGCTGGGGCGGCTGAGGAGTCCTGGGAGGGACAGGTTCTTGCGCATCTCCCTCCCCCTGTGCGCGACCCTCTCTCCTAGCGCGCAGGACTCCCTCGAATTCCTGTGGCGCAGCTGGTTAGCACAGTGGGGAGCACAAGCCTAGGGGGGACCCCCTTCCCTGGCCACTCATTCTTTGCTTCACACAAGGACACCCATTCCCAATTTCTGTAACTACTCATGCCAGGGGATTTCTTTGAGTCGTAATTTCCACATTACTTTTTTTTTTTTTAACCTCATATTTTAAAAATCCTGGTAAAATAAAAGGGAACTTCAAAAAGTTCATGGAAAATGGAATTAAAGTACAAGTTTGCTTTGGCGCAAAAAAAAAAAAAAAAAGGAAATTCACGCAGGTTTTTTTTTCCAATACATATCTCCCATGAACTATTATGGTTCCCTTATACATATAACCAGATTTACCATCTTGATTTTTTTTTCATCACAAGGTGTGTGTGCTGGCCAGAGAGACGCAGATAGAGACAGAGAGAGGGAAAGTGAGACATCACCCCTCAGGGGGTTGGCCATGCTACAATCCCTTTTCCATTCTCCTCTCTGGATTTTGGGCATGCATGCACATTTGGCATGTTGTTTATGCCAATGGGTTTGAACTGCCTAGTCAGCCATGTGGAATCTCGTGTCTTCACCACTACACCTCCTGCTGCCCACTGACTGGGTCTTTCTAAGTGTACAGATCAATGTTATTAAATACAAAAGGCCTTCAGGAAGTTCATGGAAAACGAAATTAAAGTTCAAGTTTATTTTGGTGCAAAACCAAAATCTGAAATTCATGCATAGTTTTTAAAAAGTAATTACTCATTTAATTTTATTTATTATTTTAAAAATATTTGCTATAGGGCACATATGCTCACGAGAGAGAGAGAGAGAGAGAGAGAGAGAGAGAAAGAGAGAGAGGATATGAGAAAGCAAGTTGTCAGGTCTGGAACTCAAATTGCACTTAGCCATGGGGGAGCCAAGTGGCTTAACCACTATGCCACCTGCTGGCCCCCATGCATAGTTTTTTCATACTATGCCTTTTTTTTAAGGATTTTTAAAATTTAACTTTATTTATTATTATTATTTTTCAGTTTGAGTAGAGAAAGACAGAGAAAGAGAAAGTGAGAAAGCAAGTCACCAGGTCCAAGACTCGAACCGTGGTTGGCCATGTGAGAGTCCAGTGCCTTAAACCACCAAGCCACCTGCCAGCCCTACAGTTTGCCTTTTGTGTTAACTTTTTGGATACCCCTCATCCATTCATAATGTTATGCACCCATCACTACCATTTATCTCTTTACCCATTGAGTGGTAACTCTCCATTCTTCTATCCCCAGTCCTTGGAGATCTTTCTGTCCCTACGGTTTTGACTCTCATATGAGTGGAATCTTACAGTATTTATCTTTTCATGACTGGTTTATTTCTCCTACATAATGTCCTCCAGATTTGTCTGTGTTGTAGCATGTATCAACATGTCCTTTTATAAAGCTTAATACTATTCTGTTCTACGTAGCCACCGTTTTTCCTTACCCATTCATCTATTGATGGACACTGGGTTGCTTCTGCATTTTAGCTACTATGAAGAATGCGGCTATGAATATGGAGGTACACATATCTCTTTGGGATGGTGCTTTCAATTCCAGACGTGGAATTGCTGGGTCATATGGTAATTCTATTTTTAGTTATTGAGGAACTGCTGTACTCTTTTCTGTAGTGGCTGTGCCATTTAACGTGCACAGGTGTTTCAATTTCTCTACATTCTCACCAGCACTTGTAATTTTTTGTCTTTCTCAAATTACTTTTTGGGACTGAAAACATAGGGGTTGAGACCAGACAGCTCAACTGCTTCAAAAGTTCTCCGCGCTGGTGCATGAGGAGCACCTCCCTCCCGACATCCCCTCCCTGGGGAGCTAAAGGGTCCCAGAACTGCACAATCAGACAGGACCACTGTTCTGCCGAGCCCCTCCCATGGCTGTCCTTTGCCCTCAGGACCACATCCGAGCTCCCACTTTGGCCTTGGTTGCCAGCGCCCCACCCTGCTCCCAGACTTTGGCCTTCTATGCAGCCCTCCACCCTGATCTTCTCGTTCAGAGCTGTTCTCTCTGGCTGGGGTGCTCCCTCCACTCTCCATCTGCCATTGCTTGAATGTGTGCCCCCCCAGATTCGTGTGTTAAGATTTGGTGGGTTGGGGTCAACAGGTGGCATGGAGGTTTGAGTCTTGAACCTGGCAGTTTACTTTTCCTCTCTCTCTGGTCAAATTAAATAATAATAATAATAAATAACATTAAATAAATGATTCTTTAAAAAATTAGGTGGGTCATTGTGGCTGTGTCAAGAGGGTGGAGACAGTCAATTATGGTATTGAAAGGTAGGGCCTTTGGGAAGTGATGAGGCGTCAGGATGGGGCCCCATGACTGAACGTCGTGGGTTCATAAGGAGACAATGAGAAGGACATGCTCAGCTTCGCAGGGGCTCCTGCCAGAAGCCTCTCACCGAAGGTGACCCCTGGACCTCGGACCTCCAGGCCATGAGCTGAATGAACCTTGATTCTGTTTGTTTGTTTGTTTGTTTTATGTGAGTTTGTGTGTCTGCACATGAGCGGGGGGGAAGCACATTCCCGCAGGGCCTGGTCATGCCATTCCTCCAATTCCCCAATTCAGACACCAGCCCGAGCACATGTGTTGGAGCCCATGTCTCTGCTCTGGCCTCATTCCCTCTCTTTATAAACCCACCAGGAGTCAGTTACAGACGGGGTCCATGCTCTAATGACCTTAATCCTAATTGCTTCCTAAAGGTTCTACTTTTCTTTTCCTTTTTCCCCCAATTTTTAAAAAAAGTTTTTGCTATAGGGTGTGTGCACTTGCCTGAGAGAGACAGAGAGACATTGAGAGGGAAAGTGAGAAATCCCCAGGGGGAATGGCCACACCATAATTCTTTCTTCTCCATCCTCCTCCTTGGATTTTGGGCACACACTGCACTCGTGCTTGACACAATGTTTCAAGTCGCTAGGTCTGGGACTTAAACCACAGTTGGCCATGTGGGAGTCCAGCACCTTAACCATCATGCCACCTGCTGGCCCCTGGGTTCTACTTTTCTTTATCTCTCTCTTTTTTATTTTTCAAGAATACCTTTTTATTAATTTAATTTAATTTATTATTACTATTTTCTAGAGAAAAATTTTTGCTGTAGGGTAAGTGTGCTTACCAGAGACAGAGAAAAACGGAGAGAGAGAAAGTGAGAAGCCACCCTCTGGGGGGATGGCCATGCTGTAAATCCCTTCTCTTCCATTCTCCTCTTGGGATTTTGGGCATGCACGCACATGCAATTGGTGTGAGTTTGAAGTCACTGGGTCCAGGACTTGAACCAAAGTCAACCATGTGGGAGTCGAGCCTCATCCACCATACCACCCTCTGGCCCCACTATTATTATTTTGTAACTTGCCATAGTCACCAGACTGAAACAGAAAGAGAGAGGGAAAGTGAGAGAGCAAGCTGCCAGGTCTGGGAATTGAATCATGGTTGGCCATGTATCCTAACCACTATGCCACTTGCTGGCCCCCAAGGTTTTACTTTTCAATACCATAGTCTGATTAAGTTTTCACCCTCAGCATTCTGTCACAACAAAATCTTAACATGTGAGTTTGGAAGTTGGGGAAACATTCAAACCATGGCAGACCCCCCCTTTTTTTAAAATTAATTATCAGAGGGTACTTGTGTTCACCAGAGAGAGACGGAGACAGAGAGACGAAGGGAGACGGAGAAAGCACCACCCCCTGGGAGTATGGCCATGCCACAATCCCTTCTCTTCCATTTCTCCAGTCTGTTGGGATTTTGGACAACACACACATATTTTTGGCATGCTTTTCAGGCTCCTGGGGCCAAGATTCAGACAGCAGTCAGCCATGTGGGATCTAGCTCCCTAACCACTAGGCCACAGGGCTGACCCTGGCAAACAGCTATCTTCGCAGTGGAACATGAACTCTACCCTCAAGATTTCAGAAGATACCAGGCCCCTGCAGCTATCCAGTCTAACCATTTTTGCCCATGAGGAGACTGGAGCCCAGGAACGGGTCCTCTTGGAAGAGTAAGAGTAGGAGTGTGGAGCGTGTCAGGGTGAGAGGATCCCCCAGAGGCAGCAGCGAAAAGGAACCTGGTCTACCTCTTACCTTCTGCTCTGGTCCCAGGTCTAACGCGAACCTACTCTGAGCCAGTAGTGGAAGCACCATGAGAAAGGACGTGGAAGGATGTGGACCCATGCCCTGGAGAACTCTTTCTGCCAGGGGTCCTTTGGTACCTGGGGAGTCCTAGGTACCACCACCTTATTCCCACTTCTACAGCAAGCACTGACCTTAGGCTCCTCCCAGACCTCTGGGCAAGGCTCTCTCAGGCTCGGAGTGTGGCTCCCCTGCTGGTCTCTCTCCAGGGGACACCCTGTCAGTGCTTTGGTCCTGTGGGGACAGAACATGGATGGGGCAATTGCTCCACTCTTGTATTTTCTTAGGTGGCCTGTGGCCCAGTGCTTAAGGGAGTGAATTCCACGTGGCCAACCACAAGTTTTGAATCCTGGCCCCAGTGCCTTGAAAAACATACCTGTCACATGTGCATGTGTGCCCCCAAATCCTGATGGGATGGAAAGTGGAGGAGAAGAAATTGCAGCATGACTATGCCCCATGGGAGGGGGTTCTTCCTCCCTCTCCCTCCTTCTCTCTGACAAGTATATGCACCCACTGGCAGATACAAAAAAGAATAAAGGAAAGGAAAGGAAAAAACGAAATGTATTTTCTTGCCCCAAAGCAAGGTGTTCAATGTCATCTTTGCACCAAGCTTGATCAGACACTCCAGCCTAACTTCTAGGAAGTTATGGAAGCATATCTACCCGTGAAAAGTTAATACGTCCTCTGGCTCCGGTTAAGGACTAGATCTCCTCTCACATCCGTGTGTCTCCAACAGCCTTCTCCAAATCCCTGCTCTCTCCTGCGGTGACTAGTCCGGAGAGTCAGAGGCAAGCGCATTTGCTGT